GGTCACAGATTATCATCCCCAACGAAGTCACAGGTGGGTCTTTGATGAATAATCTCTCCTCTTTAAATCCCGTAAATAGCCAAAAAGCCGAGTAGGGAGAAAGATAAAGATTTTCAGACTTTTAAAAGAAAATAGAACAGGTTTAAAACATACCTTTTATTAAATAAAAGACGCGAGCAGGTCTTTAAGAACAGCAAAAGTCCTTGAGTTTTGCTTGAAGATGGAATCGGTTGGAAAGAAAGAGATGAAATGGCTGGAAGTTCGGAAAGTGAAAGGCTTTCAAAAGGGAAGGGGGGTATTTATATGTGTATTTCATGAAAAGAATGGGCTGACCTCTAAAGGTCCAAGCCCAAAAGGTTTTTAATTATATATAAAAAAAAATATAAAAGACCCCACTAAATACAACAAAACATTTTGACAAAAGATTTAAAACACCACTCTTTAAATTAATTGGCAAATAAATATAAATTGGAACTTTGGAACTTTTAAATTTTTGAAGAGGACGGAACTTAAAAAATATCGACTTTATTTTATGTGAAATACTTCAAGACTAATTGGCGTTGCATAAATTAGCTTTGCTAGCTACCCGTTGAGGCGTGATCTAACGAACTAATATTGGAAATTAAACAGGATGACCTCTAATCATCGAAGCTAAATCCTAGAAAGACTTAGTTCTAAATAAAAATCTTGAAATGAGGTACTAACTTGAAGTCAAAGTGACGAATTGTCACAATCACATAGGCCAAGAATCCTTGGCACTTCTTTTTCATACAAATGCAAGCCTGTGATACTGATAGAAGACTGGGATGATGATCCTGGTGATCACCCTTTATTATGACTGTTCCTTTGCCTGGAAGCTCTATTTTCACTCTCTTTTGGTTGCAAAAAATGGATGCCTGGTTACTGGCTAACCAGTCCATCCCCACCACTACATCAAATTCCTTCATAGGCATAGGGAACAAACGGATGGGTAGCTTACAACCATCAATAATGATGGCATAATCTTGGTATACAGAAGCTATAGTTTCTTGATTGTTTGCAGTCTCAACTATCAGCTTTTTATCAAGTAATATTGGGATCATGCAGGCACTTTTAGCAAATAAAGGAGATACAAATAAAAAATTTGCACCTGAATCAAAAAGCACCTTAGCACATACTGAGTTGATTGAAAAAGTACCTGTTACCACATCTGGTGCAGCTTCTTCCTCAGTTTCAGTCATTTGGAAGGATCTGCCTTGAGCTTTACCAAATCCTCCCCTATTAACACCAGGCCTTCCACTGTTGTTTGGAGCATTGTTTCCTGAAGTTAGTTGTGGTGGTTTCAGCTGTGGACACTTGTCTTTAACATGGTCTGGTGAATTACAATGGAAACACCTTCTGATTTGCCTATAGTAGGTTGAGGTGTGCCCAATTTCTCCACAGTTAAAACATTTCAATGGTTCAGGTCTACAGCTACATTGATGAACCTGTTTGCATCTTGGGCAGGCTCTCTCCATCTGCCTCTGCATTGATTTCTTATAGAATTTAGCAGCCTTTGATCCTCTGTAGCCAGTTGAGGATCCCTCCCATTTCCTCTTTTCTACAACCTTCCCTTCCTCACTCATATTCTTATTCCTTTCAGTAACCTCTACAGCATCAACTGCTGCAGGAAAAGTGGTAGGATTCATAGCAATTACCAATTCTCTTATTGAGGGCTTAAGTCCCCAAATATACCTCTCCACTTTCCTTGCTTCAGTAGCAATATAATGTTCAACAAACCTGGAGAATTCAATAAACATTTCTGTGTAGGCTCTGACTGCCCCAAAGCCCTGCTCCAGCTTGAGGAAATCTTCCTCCATTTGCCTGATTGCTGTTTTAGGACATAATTACTCTTTAAATCTATTCACAAACTCTGTCCAGGATAGGTTCTGCAGCATATCTGGTCTGGCCAAAGACTCCACTTCCCACCAGAACATAGCATTAGACTTCAACATAGCAACAACAAATCTGACTTTATCAGCCTCTGGACATCTAATAGTGTTGAAGACATATTCAATTTCCTTGATCCAACGTAATGCTTTTATTGGATCCCTTTCTCCAGAAAAAGTTGGGGGTTTGCAGGTAAGAAACATCTTTATATCCCCTTCTCTAACATGAGATGTTGTTGGCACAGCAGGAATTTCCTTCACCCTTTATGTTTCTAATCTTGCAAGCATTCTTAAAATGGAAGTCAAGGTTTCCCTTAGCTTCCCCATCTCTTCAGCCAACATACCCCTGGTCACAACCTCTTCTTCAGGCAAAAATTCTGGATTGTTACCTCCAGAAATAGATTTTGCCTGTTCAAAAGGAAACTCTGTCTAGTTGTTGCTTTCTCTGGCTTGGCTTCTGCTACTTCCTCTGCCTCTACCTCTGCCCCCTCTTCTACTTCTGCCTCTACTTTCTAAGGCATTGACAGAGATCCCTATACGAGAATCCTCTGTTTCATCGGGGTTAGGCTGAGCTAGTCTTTCAGATCTCCTTGAGTGGCTAGTCATATGCAAGTTCCATAATTAGATAACACATTTTCACATTCCCAAATATAATAGAGTACTCAAAAATACCTTACATATTGAGCCCTTAACTTATTATATTTATT